CAGTGAACGGAAGTAACTTCCTCCTGATTACCCCACTTTCGATTTTAGTTTGCTAGGGTACATTTTGAGCAGTATTGGAGTCATATAAAGAAAAGCTCCCAAGATACTTTTTTTTAACGCAGGGTTATTTAAATGGGAGGCACAACTTGCAGGTCTCTTGGAGTTCTTGGAAGGAATCAGCAGCACAGTGAATGTGGCTGATTGTGATCAATATGGTGAACTTAGAGTTCAGAAAAGATCGAACTCCAGCTGTGCTGCAGCCTGTGATGAAAGATTTGAGAGATAAAAAGCCGGGTCCTGGATGGTTCTATAAATGACTTGGAAAAGCAAGGGGGCAAAGGGAAGACATTTACAACTTACAGGAAATTGTTAATCATAGTCAAAACTGCAGAGCATTGCAGAAAAATCTTGCAGTATCAAGGGCCTGGATAATGAAATGGCAGATGAAATCAAGTGTTTTTAGCACATGTGAAATAAGGCACACAAGAGAAAATGTGAAATGTGCACACACAATAATGAGATCTAACTGAGCTGTTGGTATCCTGAAGGAAGAATTAGTTGAAGTCATTAAGAACATTTCTCTAAAGTATCCATCTAATGTTTTGTAGCAACAAAGTCAAATCAAGCATTAGAAGTTTGATTTTTTTTTTTTAAAAGGTCATTACATTGCTACAGGAATCTATGACAGTGTTTGAGACACAGGCATATATTCCTGTTACCTTATTAAAAAAAAATCCTTTTTATGTTAAGAAGGATGGCAAGAACTGTGTAATGATTTCTATATGAAGAGATACAAAATAAGTTAGACATGCATGCCTAACCTGGAAAATAAATGATTAGATGAAGACGGTAGTTATACAGCTGAGTAGAGAGGACAGGATAAACAGGGAATGGTTGCTCAGTTTCATCATGACTGAGGAACTGGAGTACAGCAACAGGATTAAAACAAAAGGAGGGAGTGCGCTTTTACACAGTGGAATTAAATTGAAGTCTCATTAACAAAGACTGTTTTGAATGCCAAACCTTTATTGACTTTTTTCTTTCATGAAGGAAAATTCCATCAAGGTATTGACACTGCAGTACTAATGCCTTTTTAGGATAAGGAAATTTCTGAGCTACACGTTACTGGGACTTTGAAGGCGTATGAGGGGCAATGCATCTTGTATACCTTCCCTGGTCTTGTCCTCTTTCCCTCTGCGTCCCATGCTGTCCATGGTTAGAGACAGAATAGTGACCTAAGTGGATCTTTGCTCTGAATGCTATAGCTGGATTTTTTTGTTCTCTCTCTCTGTATCTATGTTCAGAAGGTGTTGTCTGGCAATTTTCCGATTCTTGAAGATGTAATGTAGTACTTGCGTTTTTTATGCTCTCAGAGTATGTGTTCTTTAATTAAAGAGCATCTCATGCAAGTAATGCTGAAAGAATAAAATGATTTTGCAACATGTTCAAAATCAGAAACTAGGCCTTTTTGCTTATTTTTCAGGAGGTAACAAATGGTGGCATATGCTGAAGGATCTCATTAACTTTGCCTAGTAGCTTAAGTAAGCACTAGAGAAGTTAAAGGGTTTATTTGCTACCTTTAAAAGTGGTTAAAGTGGTTTATAAATACTTAGCCATTTAGAGTTCTGCATTTTACAATAAACATGGATTCAATGACTATTTCACTTAGAATCTTTCATCTGTATCTTCTTTTAAATAGAGCTTATGAAATGGTTGCTAAGTTAAGTAGATCAAAGTACAGGAAGAAAGCACAGGAAGCTGCTATCTCCATTGTTTTGGTAGGAAGGAGAAAGTTTTAACTGTCTTACAGTTAGAAGTAACTCTATGGATTTGATAATGATTTATAGGATTGGATAATTCTTCCCCCCAAGCATTTGTTAATTTGTTAGTACTAGTACTTGTGTCATTATTATGGAAAACATTCAAGGAAGTCAGTGTTAAGACCACTACTAGAGAAACTGAGTAGTAAGCTATCTCCAACCTAAAGGCTTATTTGTTCCTCCCATAGCCAGTTTCTTATCCACCTTCTTGCATATGAATGGCTGTTCTTTCCTGCCTATTAGTCTCCCAAGGAGACTGAGTGCTATGTATCGATATATGTAAATGCCAGCCAGTGAGACATGCACGTTCATGGACAAAGTTGACACAAGAGTGCCTGGATATAAGCTTGAATAAACTTAATTTGATGATAAGAATACTTTAGTCATCTAAGAGCACTGCTGAAACAGCCTTACAGATGGGACTTTACTGGGTTAAGAGGCTAAAGAACTGTAAGTTGTTTTTTGTGGCTGATAAAAGGACTTACAGTGTGAATGTTTGCCAAGAACAGTAGTCTTAATTCAGGAGCTATCCTAGGATCATGTGAATTTTGGTTGCTTATCACAAATGTGATTTAATAAGTACTATGAAAGCTGCAATAATGAGAAAGAAATGCCATTTTTATTGTTCTTTTAAAGTAAAAAGGTAAAACTCACAACATGTTAACTCTATCAGAATAAGTCATTTGGACTAATTTAATGTTCAGCCATGTGAAAAGTAAATTCACATACCTAAATTAGGCATTTATTTCTATTAAAATCCTTTGAATAAGTCACCCAATTGCTTTCCTTTAAGCACTTCAGGGTGCCTGCAATTGCTACTTTTGCTGCTAATCTGAATTTGTTAGTAAGCACTGAAAGCTTGCAGCTAATGAAATCTCTATTTGTAAACTGAGCACATCTGACATAGAAACTATTGAGAGACTACAAATATAGCTGTTTTTCAGTTGCTCTTTTAAAAGCAGGACTAAAATAACTAACTTCCGCTCTTTACTTCCCATCTTTTCTGACTGTCTTTGTGGCTTGTCTTGAGGTGACCTCATATTCCTTCTACCATGTATCTCATGTTTCTGTGCAGATAATAGGAATTCATGCCTAATCAAGGAGATATGATGAAATACCAGCCAAGGTGAACTCTAGGACTGCTTACCCCTGTATACTTGTTTTATTTTCTTAGTGTAGTAATGTGTTAAGCTATATGCAATTGCAGAATATCTCATCTGGCAAGAGATGCTAGTGAAACGTGGTTTGACATTAATGAGCTTAAAAACAAAGTTGTGCAACTCAAGGTGTGAGAATCAGTGTTGATGAAACAAGTGTGTGGTTTGTTTCACAAGTCTGAATTCAGTTGCAGATGGGAAAACATCTGAGCCCTAAGTTCTACCTTAACTTTTCTTTATTTAAACAGTCTTGTAATTGTCTTAAGAGTGAGTCTCAAAATACTTGAAAGGCAAGGAAAGTCTTGTCTGATTAGATTACTTTCTTTGAACTGACCTCTTCTTTGATACCTAATACAAATGGGAGGTAGGAAAAGGGTGAATTACCTAACTATTAGTCAAAAGTCTGAAATAATCTCTATATGTGGTAGAAGGTTGGATCAAACAGGACCGGGTTTAAGGAGTAATGCAGAATAGGCAACACATAGCTTAATCTTTTGTTATTGTAATATCTGCATAGTGTATGCTTTCATTACTCTGACCTTCTCCATAGCAAAGCTATGCCTTGGGGCAGTGATATTATCTTCATCTTAAAAATGGCACAGCATTGAAGTGACTCATTGTCTGTGGTCACAGACGATACCTAACGAAGTTTGGTGTGAAATCTTGTTACAAATCTCACGCTAGCTTTCTGAGCTCTACATGCAGTCCTTCAACTCTTTTCTTCCCCTCTTCTATAGACCTATAAGACCTTGTGATGGACACTGTAGTATTTGAGAGCTATACAGACAATGTTCAGCTTGATAATACCACAATCCTAAATTAGTCTTCAGCACATTGCGTAGTAGCATGCTATTTTCAAATCAGTAGGGCCACAGAAGTAAAATGATCTTGCAAGACTGCGCAGAAAGTCAATACTAGAGTGAGAAATAGAACACAGTTCTCCAAGATAATCTTATGTTGTTACCATGTCACCTTACTTCCTTTCTTGGTTTGATTTGCATTTCACAGAATAAGGTTCAGGCTGTTTTATCCCCTACCTTCCCTGTTACCTTTGGGGCTTTTTTGTTTGGCAGTCTTCCTCATTCAAATAGGAGAGGAAGATGTGCTCCAATACAGAAAAACCCTCCCACTTTTAGTTTATGCTTACAAACCAGTGTAAGATAAATAGAGTATAGGGACCCTGAAACTTGTGCCCTTCACTTTTTGAGGTGGATTAACCTATTGTAATCAGATTATTTCTTTCCCTTTTACAAAGAAGTAGGTGTAGGAAGCAACAGAAAAAGTTTTTGTAAAAACTTAGTCAAGTCCTAAAATCTTCATAGCATAACATCATGATATGACATAGATGATACACACTTCTGAGTCACTTAATGAGACTTTGACTCATGGTCACATTTTCACAATTCATATGTATCATGATTTACAGCACGGCTGACATACTGATGGCACAGTGCTGAAGGTGGCTTGGAAGTCTTTGGATGGCATCTAGCTGTGGCATTTTAGATGAGATAGTGGCTCCCAGCTTTTACTGAGTACTAAGCTCTGCAGGGGCTGTGAGCTGCCACTTTGCTCGAATGCAAAATACTGTCTGTTTGTGATAAGCTATGTTCCTGGTCCCTGGATTGAGACCTCTGCTGTAGCCAAGAGCTAGAACCACATGCTTGTCATTATGATGACATACTGTTGACCTGGCTTGCCCCTTTGAATGACAGCTTCTTCCACAGATTAGAATAGAAATATTGGTCTGGCATATCATCACTGCTTGTTTTTGCTGAAGGTGTATTGCAGCTGTGCCATTTGACTGCCACAGCTTCTTTCAAGCTAGGAAAGACTTGGAAAAAATAAATGGCTGAAGAAAATAATAAGCACTGAAGGACTGATTCAAATCAAACGTTGTGTGTGGTGAAGTTAAACCATCAGAATTTCATTGAGAATGTAGTTTGTCTGAATGAACTGAAAGCATTTTAGACACAAGCTGGTGATGTGAATTACTTGTTCAGCGTGAGCTCTGCAGCAAAGTAATTGTGAAGCCAAGTTGAGATGCATGCAGAGAAGACAGGCCAAATTGAGAAGCATAAAGACAAGACAGGCAAAGATGCTTATTTTCCTTTTGTGTACTAAGCTATATTTTAAAATATACTGTTTTGTACTTTGCAGTTATTCAGTGTGGAATGGTGCCTAGTGTTACTGTTCTGTAATATTTTAAAAATGTTTGGGAAATTAATAGATAGAAAACACATTGTCATCTGATTTAGAAATAAGTCCACCTTGAATCTGTCTCCAGACTTTGTTTTCATGCAGCTAGTTGATATTGCTGCTGGAGAGAGTCTCTTTTCTCCAGAATAACTGGAGAAAAAGTTCTTTAGTAGACTGGTCATTTCCAAGGTGTTTCTTATTTAAGTGTTTAGCAGGTGTGGGGTAACAGGGAGCCTCAACTGAAGAGGCACTATTAACTTAATTCAAATGGATGTGTTTTCTTTTAAATCCATCCAAGCCTGCACTATAGCTAGAGCAAGTGAAAGAAAAATCTACTTAAATTATTTTATGGACCTAAGTGTCTGATGTAGTCTTGGAGATGCAATCTTTCATGTAGAATCGGACAGAGGGGCTATGTGTGTGGGGGGAGTACCTTTAGGAAAAGCAATATTGGGAAGTGGTTCAGAAAAGACATGGAAACTTCAACAGTAGATTGTCCTTCCTGCTATCTTTGGATAAATTTCCTGTAACTTTGTTTATAATGCACTGTATGGTGGTTCATTTCATCTGTCTCTTACTGCAGGTCTGGTTGTTTAGTATTGACTGATTATCTGCTGTCTTGATTGTTTCCTTGAGAGAGAGAGAGAGAGTTTTGAAATCCTTGTTTATGGCACTTGGTACTTTGAATATTCAGACCACTGTTATAACTAAAATTAAATCTTAAAAAAACCCAAAAGCTACTTTTCTTAGAATGTCTGAAGATGAACTGTAAATATTCTTTGCCATTTCTTTTTAAATTGTAATTTGTGTTAAGTGGCCTGTTTGCGTTTGCTTCAATTGATGAAGAAAGCATATGATGCACTTTACCCAGCAAAAGTTAGACTACCTCTCTTACTGGACAGTTTGTTTATACCAGATATTCAGGTCACACTTCTCTAAAGTTTCCTATACTTTTATTTTGGGAAAGCCCAAAATATTTTGGCCTCTTTCTTTTTCTGTGGTGTTTTCTGGGAGTAATGTGGTATGTTTTGCCTAAATTCACTTTAGGTACTTTAGGATTAAAAACAAAATTTTGATGAGAAGTTTTTGCCCTATGTAAATCCTTAACTAGACTTTGTAGAACATACTGCATGTTTTTCAGGCACTTCCAAATAGTGTACCAAGTTTTGGCTCTGCACAACAAAGAGCCAAGAGTTGAAGAAAACACTTCTTAATGCTTGTAGTCGTCTGCTAAGGTCTTGTTTTCCTGTTATACCAAAGGAAAATAGGTAAAAATATTTTATGCATTTTCTTTCCCAGGTGGCCTAGAAATGAGCATGGCTTTTGGAAATTGGATTACTCTTTAATGAGGTTTAAAGCCATGAGAAAAATGAGAATTGATTTATGATCTTAAAGATGTGCTATAGATCCCAGGGACCTGAAATAACTTGCTAAAAACTGTTTCCATTGAGAGGTAGCTCTTTGAATTCTTACCTTGACATATGAAAGAAAAAGATAGCTGACTGCCTTTGAGGGTTTTTTTAATGCAGGGATTTCTAATGTACTTTGGGGTCATCAGATTGAATTTAATCGTAAGTCACTTAAAGGCTCATCAACTCTTAATGGAAAAGGGCGTTATTTGGTGTAAGTTTTAGGAATTAAGTTAGGTCATAATAGGTTGTCATATAAAAGCTTTCCCTCAACTCTCCTCAGCAGGAGAGAAGTTAGGGAAGTTAAGTCTGCAGGACATAGTGTTGCAGGACAGATGGGAAGGGTGGGATCTTGTTTCTTCCTGAGCAACTGCCTGTTTGTATTAGCATGGCTCCAATTCCAGAAGAGGAAGAGAACTAGTGGTGCTGTGATTGCATGTATTGCCATTTGTTAGTGTTTCTTCCCCTTTCTTAATACACTTCTGTTTTTGTCTGTGCCCAGAAGTTTGCTGTTTCTGCTGTGTATTTGGGAGGACTGGTTTTGTTATTTTGGCATAAATAAGGCTCTTTATTTCCGTAGGTCAGCAGTATAGACTTGAATGGCAAGATCCTATGAACAGAAAATGAGATATTAATAGTGCTAAGCAAGACACTGTTTCTGATACTGCAAGTGATGCTTACATAGCACATGATTTTAGATGATTAAATTTAATCCTAGTTGTCTGTGAAATACACAGTTAGGTTACACTTCTGTTTTATAGACTATGACACTGACTGCCTAGCTAAAGGGAAAAATATATCATTAGTCCTAGGTAAAACTCCAGCCTCTCTCAATCCAAATGCTTAGATAAATGAGATTTTTAAAAGGAAGGTTCTGGGTTAGATTTAGATACAAACACACTTGCCTTTTTTAAGTCTTGGCTACCTGTTCTAGAAACACTTATTTAGAAGAGGAGGGAGGAACTGGATCTTAAATATTTTTAAAGAAAGATTTAAGAAATGTGACCATCTCAACATAATACCTATTTTGTCTATTACCTATATTACCCATTTTATAGTTGTGGAACTTAAAGCATTTTAGCACTGGAACAGAACTGAATAAAGTTGTATAAATTTACCAGAGAATGTTAATTTTCCTTTAGTGGGATTTTAACATGGTAAGAAAATACCTTGAATATGGATGATATGATCATCTAGTGAATTATGATTTAAAAAACAGATCTTATGAATTTTAGAACAGTATTTATTGTAAAGCACAGTTTTAATTTCAAGATCAAGTGTGCTTCACAGGGATTATGTAATGAAACTTTTCAAAACCACCATGTTTTTTATATTTTTCAGAAGGATGGAGTGTTTCCACAGTAGGGTTGGAAATCTGAGTGTTACCTTTTTACAATGCGTATGTAATGAATCCTGCTTCCTTGCTTCAAAGAAAAGGAACTTAGGTAGTTACATCTGCCAGTTAAGACCTATATCTGTGCAAATGTAATCACTCACTTATTACTTGCTGTGGCAGGATAATTCAGAACATGTTCAGGTCTTTGAGGCTTAAACCTCTTCCTCTGGATGAGGACAAACTCTCAAGCTGAACTGGTACCTGCAGGACTGTGGAAAGGAGTGGGTGTGGCTTGGCAGGGAGTGTTTTGAGGTTAAGAGTTGGTAAGTAATTAGTGGACGCGCTCACTTTTTGGTATGCTTTGACTGATAGGTGAGTTTCAATTTATATGGAGTAACAGAACAAAACCTTTTCTCTTTGTCTCTTGCAGGCTGGTATGTGGTCTGGCAATTGTTTCTGTCTAAATTCAAATTCCTGAGAGAACTGATAGGTGATACGGGGTCCCAACACGGGGACAACGAGCTTTCAGAGACTGAAGCTGAACAGGAGACTCCACCGTCACCACAGAGAGGTAGACAGAAATCAGCTCGCCAGCGAAGGGCACCTGCAGAAGAAACATCTTAAAATACTCCCTTGGACTACTAACTAGCTATGAATGGTTAAGCACCTCTGCACTGTCTGTTGTTCAGTGGCTTGATCTTACTGAAAAACTGACTTAAAAGGTAGTGTAAATACCTGTGAACCTTTACTTCTGAACTACACACGTATGCTACTTTAGTAGAGGCTCAAGGAGGGCTTTGGCAGCAAGTCATAGAGTACTGGAAGAAAGAAGGGATAGAGAGAAAAATATCTATCAGAAGAATGCAGAGCTGCTGTACCTTCCGTTCCTGCAAACATGAAAACACTTTCTGGACCGTAGCCTAAGCCTTTGCATTAGTCTAAACATGGTAAATGCTTCAGACTTGAAATGGTTGATAAATTATTTTTCCCTTACAGCAGTACAGGAACTTCTTGTGAAATTGAGTTTTATTTCCTTGGCTATATATAAAGATATATATTTTTTTTCCTTCAACCTTGTAAAATGCATGTGAACTTGAATAACAGTTGAAAGAATATCCTGCTTTGGAAAGTATTCTAAAGTGAGACTTCAGTTACATTTTAATATAAAAAGTATAAATGAAATAAGAAAAATGAATATCAAATGCACATGATGTGGAGCTTAATCTCCTTTAAGAAAATGGATGATAGTCCTGATTTCTTGGTTTTGACATCAGAAAAGGGTTACAGATAAAACAGTCCTGCCTGATTTCTGCGTGTTCTTTCTGAGCCTTTTACTCTTAGCCCAACTTCTGTTGGACAGGGGAAGGAGCTTAGATTAAGTACTCACTGTTTAGTTTTCTGAAGTGTCATCTTTGTCTTCTAGGGTCTAGGTGCTTCTCTAGCTTACTTGATACGCTCTTACATCAGGTATTTGGTACCAGATATAACTTTTTTCCTGGAACCAATTAATGCATTCTGACCAATTTGGTAGACACCACTGTAACACTTTGATAGTGTTATAGCAGTGAATTTGGTACCTCGTGTTTAGTAGAGATCTTACTGATTTTTACCAGTAATAAGCAGTTGCTTCTGTTTTTAGAATATGAATTATACAGTTACGTCCACATTGTACTCCAGAATTAAGAGCTCCAATTCTGTTTTTTAGCAACTCTGGAGATTGATTGCATGAGATATTTGGAAAGAGGAGTGTGCATGTGCCACCTCTGATGTGTGTGTATGGGGGAAGACTACCCAAAATATCTGTTCCATGGGCAGCTTCAAGCTTTCTCTTAACACTTTGGTACATGGTGATGTTTGGATCATTGTTCCCTGTATTTTAAAAACTATATTAAACAGGACTCCAAAGTGGTCTTGTACTTTCAGCCATTATGAAGTTTAAGCCTGTGACTTCCAAACTTGGTTTGATTCATTCACGCTCAGCTAAAACCAAGCAACATTTAGCTGTTTGATCAAATAAACTTTCATCTGGGAAAAGAGCACTCTCTTTAGTGCCTTTGTTTTAATTTGTCAGTCTGTGAATACTGCTAAAAGCTATTGGGAACTTACAAGCTATTGTTCCATTAATAAAATGGTTTAGATGGTTCAGTATTCAAGTATGTAAGATCTGCCCTGTTGTTCCTTGGGACTCTAAAAGTCTATTTGTGTTTACTGGCATGTGTGTGTAAGCATGCTTTGTATTACAGGGTTGCATTTTCCAGCATGATTAGACAGTGCTATGCACATATGTAGAAATATTGATAGTCTCCTTCATATAGTCTTTTTGCTGACAAAGAAATGCCTATTTATGTTTCTATAGTAGTAAAATTCACATCTATTCAAACTAATCAAAAGCATTCAAATTCTTTTCACTGCTGCTTTCAGTTGTTTGCTCTGCACAGCGTAATGTGAAATGAATGATATTTATAAATTTTTGTCACATGATTAGACTTTCAGCTCAACAGTGCTAATCAGGTACTGGACTGTCTTTCTCTTTTAAAAAAAAAAATCTTGAACATCTTTGTCCTGAGCATTGCTTATTTGGGTCTACAAAGAAAGGTTTTTGTTCTGATGTAGAACACTGACACTCCACTTGCACTTCAGTTATAGCTATACATAAGTGCGCTGAAGATGGCAAAGGGTTGATGCTTGTAGTCTCCAATTGAGATAAATGACAGTTAAGTCTGTTTCTAGGTCTGGTAGCTGTGAAGAAAAGTAAAATTACAGCAATATACATATATAGCCAAGGTAGTTCTTGACATGTAGGAATAAAAATTTTGGAGCAAGTTAATGAAGTTACACGTGGGTTTGAATGCTGACACTGACCAAATATGCAATAAGATGATAGTTAAAACTAATGGACGTGAAACCTCTGGGAAGCTCATCTCCTGTAGCTGAACAGCTTCCTTCTGTTGCCTGCAATACGTAGGTGTACATTTCACTCCCCAAGTTTATTTTCAATCTTTTTTTAAACAGCTGACACTTTTTGTTACTGTTGTTGTGATGTAGCTGCCAATAATGCTGTCTGCCTACTGTATAACGTTCGTAATCTTCCTAGTAGCAGGAAAAAGCTTACATTATGAGGTTAGAAAGAATTTTGCAACACTGATTCTGTCAATGTGTATTTTTTTTCCTATTAAGAGTCCATAGTTTAAAAAAAATCTTTGTACAGGGCACTTTGCTCAAACTTGTGAAAGTGAGGCTGTATGTGTGGAAAATATACTTGTAATAAGACCTATGTCATGATTGCTGGCAGTCCATTATACTTATGTCTTTGGATATTTTTTTACCAGTGTGCTTCTGATATGTTACTGATTGATAAGCACTTAAGTTTGAATTGACCCATTCAAGTCAGAACTTATGAAGACAACAGGTTACACAGTTGATTTTGTTCAGCATTTTTATTTTTTAAACTATATATTGCCTTATTGTTGCAGCTATTCTACTGAATGTACTTTGAATTCTTAATTTAAATACATTCATATCACTTTTGTATCAGGGGCCATGTAACTTTGAATAAGCAGCGATTATCTGTATTCTGTATGACAGTTGACTGAAAAAGGTTACTGCCATGAAGGCTGGAACAAATGTGTAATGTAGACTGGAAAAATACATTAAGTTACAGTTAAAAATTGAGAAAAAGTGTAGACAACTGTTCCTGCCAAATTCATAGTTCATACCTATTAGGGAGCCACTAAGGTTGTTGTTGTGGTGATTAATGTTAGCCCATGAGGCTGATTCTATGCAGTTTGTCCACTAAGCACTGCTGCTCTAGCTGTTAGCAGTAAATGCCATATACTGTGCTGCAATCTGTGAGCAACTTGCTGCTTATTATCAGGTTTTACACTGAATTAGACCTGTGTGTGTACTTCTGTTTTGTTTGGAAATGACCAGCATAAAGAATGTCAATAAGGTCATTTGCCTCTTCAGTATTAAGATACTGTATGTAATGCTTCTGTGGTTGTCTGTTTTCATCATGTTAACTGTTTTAACTGACTGTACAGATAATGAAAAATAAAGTAACTAGACTTGATACAAGTACTTCATCTGAGTGTTTTTTGGGGGAGGGAGGTTGGAATGGTATCTTGCTTATAAAATAAGGTTTCTTATTTAAGCATGCAACAGTATGCAAGAAGACTTATCGAAAGTCAGATTCTAGCTGATTATAACACCTACAGAAGACTTGAACTTAAAAAAAAAAATCCAGGTTAGTATGCATCCTTTAGAAAAATTATTACAGATCATTTTCTGCCTTATCTTTTATAAGTTGTCACTTATTTTTAGCAAGTAACTCTCCCTCTGGTTTTGGTACTTTTAACGGTGCTTAATGACTTTTTAGTTTGCCTGAAAGTGTGTTGGTAATGTAAAAGGCTTTTAATCTGGAATCAAAGATCCTGAACAAGAGAAGAAAATAAGAATGTGCTTCCTCCCTGATTGCTTCTGTGAGTAAAATGCACAAGTTGAGTCCTGGATATTTTTTATTGGTATGCTTTTTGATCTTGAGGAAATGCACTGGTTCGCTATTGCCCCACTTTTCTCCTTTGCGAAGATGGGCTACTAAAAGAATGCAGTGGAATGCTGGAGCATTATGCAGCTTACATACTTGGGGATTTTTTGACTTTTAACGTTTCAGTTGTAGATAGGTGTAGGGGGGAGGGTGGTGGTAATCAATGAGTAGCTGGTATCTGATACCAGCCAATATACCAGATATGGCTTGTAAAATGCATGCTTGCTTTTCTACTTTGACACTGATTGCAAGGAAACATGACCATCATCTGTCCTAGCAGGGTGAATAAAGTTACTGTTGTGTTACATGGCTCTGTCAGAAGTTTCACAAAAGGCAGCATTTACCAATACTGCTTCTCCCCCACAGGTACCCCTGTGTTGTCTAGGATTCTCTTCTATCCTTTCCAATTAATACAGATATAAACTCTAAAACACAAGCTTGCTTGGTTTATAGTTATTGATATAACTACTAATTATATTAATATTTTTTACTTAAGATTAGACTAGAAACAGGCAGGGTAAACATGTTGAGTTTTATATTGAACCTTAAAGACATACTAGCCTTATTCTCCGTGTAGATTGGGTGCCAATTTTTTGAGTGTCCCAGTTATCCATACAGGTATTTTTAGTCAACAAAATGTTATCTCTGAAAGCTGAATAGATTGTTTTTTTTCCAGACTGCTTCATAGCCTGCCTGTGTAAAAAAGAAGAGAAGGGCCTACATCGGATCCTAACAAGTAGCAGTGCTGAACTTGGGTGCCTTTCAGACAAAAGGAAGTGGCAAGGTAGATCTATAGATGGACAGAACAGTGTTATGGAGTGAATAGCAGAAAGCCAGACTTCTAACTTGATTAAATCAAGTTAGAAGAAAGCAGAGGCAAACTTGGGAATCGCAGATTTTTGCAGAGGGTAGCTAAATAGAAGAATGAGGTTGCTAAAAGTGAGGGGAGAGCAAGGAGCTAACCAGTGTTGATATCTGAGAGCTTTTAGGATATAAAAAGGTCCTATATATAGGTCACCTTTTGACCTGCAGGAGGAGGTACAGGTGTGGAAATCCATGAGACAGAAGGAGGCTTTTAGAGGCAGGAGATAAGGATAACATGAATATGCCTTTCACTCTTTTTTTTTTTTTAAAAAGAGACGCTGAGATCAATAGAAGAAAAGCTGCTTAATGTGGTCAATTTAGGGTCACTGTCAGTGTTACACATGTATTGTCTGCAATGTACCCTCCTCTTCTAGCGTGCTTTATGTGGACTGCTCCTGGACTCTTGCTGAATGCTGTCAGTGCACTTGGCCTCACATGGGTAAGAAATAGTGTCCTCTATCAGGGAGCTGTGGCCTGGTGGGTACTTCTCTGTGAATCCTTCAGTTGGATCTGTGCATTCTGTACAATTCAGGGGCCAGATTTTTCCTCCCCGTTACAACTTCCAGCTTTCTATGGAGAAGGCATGAAAACCATGCCTTGCAGAATTTAAATTGCCCTGCCTTTAGTGGAATAATTTAGCAACCAGGAGGTATGTGTACCCTGTGTCCTTCTTAGACCTGCTGTAGCTCATTATCTGTAATATCAATTTCCTCCATGCTAGAGAATTTGAATGTTTCATATCAGGATTTGAAAGTCACATATCACCAAATATTTTGTTCATGAAAAGTGCTAGCTCTGGCTTGAGGCAAGTCTTACCACTTCTCTGTGCTAGGTTGGATCACTGTTACTGTGTTAATGCTGAATACTACTCCTGTTACAATCAATCTTTGTCTTCCTAGCACACTGCCCTGCTTCTTCCCAGTTAAGGATCTAACCAAAAACCTTCTGAAAACTTTCTTGCCTTTTTTCAAGTTATTACAGCCTCTGTATCCTGACTCATCCCCTAAATGCCAGATGATTGGCAGTTAGCCTTTTTTGTTCTGTTAAAAATGTCAGGCAACATCCATGCTATGAAAGAACATGTATTCACATACTGTACTATAAACCAGTTACTTCCTATGTGAGTGGCTTCAGTTTTCAAGAATCTAAAGACTTACTCCCTTTGAGTCCCATAAAACCCTACTTTGAGAACTTCCTAATAGAAACAGGAGGCCTGCTGCAGTGCTGTAAATCTGAGCAGTTGTGAGAGGCTGTGCTCAGTGCAGGGCACTGGTGTCTGAAAGAAGGCAGCTGGCACGAATGGACTACTCTAACAGTTAATGCCGTTAGCTCAGGCACATCAAGTATGCATCATCAATTAAATTCTCTGGAGCTGATAAAACCCCTAAAGTTTATTTTGTTTCCTGGCTAGATGTCAATGCATCTGCTATAATTTTTGATCCTGGCACAGCATCGCCTCTCCAGGAACAGAACTGATTTGACTGATTTCTAGCTTCAATAGAGTGGGAGCACGCTCCAAACAACTGGCAAGAGTACTTTCTTGTAGGAAGATGCTCATCCTTCTTCCAGAGCAGCAAAGCGGGGAAGGAGAGGGAGAAAATATGCAAGGGCAGAAAGCAGGGAACTGGCAATTTCACTTTGTGAATTTGGTTCTGAGTTCTTCCACTGACTTTTTGTATAATCTGTATATAGCCTCTTTATCTTCCTAAATCACAAGGCTTATTTAACAATTGCAACATTTAAATATTAGCAATGGCATTTATTGCAGCCTTAGTTTTATACTTTCTAAAAGATTTCAAATATGGAGGGTGGACTTGATTTTTGCTTTTCCTTGTCCCTGATTCCAAGAAATCCTCCCATTTCTCTGGGTACTGAAATAACAGGATGGACATGCTGCTTCCTGGACCGACTTCTTAAAAACCTAGATAGTTGTTCACAGTGCGGATTTTGTCTGAAATTCTGGGGGATTTTGATAGCAAAGGTCAATAGAAACGGCTTTGGGCCTGGCTTTTCACCACTAGATGGCATGTGCCCTCAAGCTTTGAGGGTAGAGGGGCCCACACTGCAAGAAAAATGTTCCAGCGTCCATCTGGGCCAACACTGTGGAGCCTCCTTAGTGTTTGCTGTTGATGTGTTTTTAGTAGTTCTGTTGGAGTTTAATTTAAGTGGGAATTACAGGGGCAGCTCCTTGCAGGAGATGAGACTGCCTCTTATTTGCCCATAATCCTCATGCTAAGAGAGCAAAAGTTCTCAGAGTTTCCCTGCTGGTTATTGGGCAGCTGCTTTCCAGCTACTAAAACAAACACTCATGATCAGCTCACTTCAATATCAGAAGTAATATCTCTTCAATATCTCTCTCTTTTGAGAGACCTGAGGACAGAGGGCATATGTCATATTGGCACAGTGTAAATCCTCATGGCTGTGTAGAAGATGCTGCTGTTGCTGTCCAAGGCAGAAGCTGAAGGAGATGCCAGAAAGTGATTAGTTATCTTTAATGCTTTTTGCATTAAAGATCAGAATCCTTGAGGAATGGGATGATGACACAGTGGGTGCTTCATTAGCTGGTAAGTTGTCCTGCTGGTTAGTCTGTGTATTCAGGCTGAGGGAGAAGTAGGGAGCGTTTTATTGTACAAGGCTTTGAAGAAACCTGATTTCCCATTATTTAGCCTGTCGTTTATAACCTAGGAGAAATGGAGTCCCCATTAGCAGATCCAACATTTGCACTTCACGAAGAAAGCTGCTGACATTTTCTGTATTTTTTTCCTGTCAGGATGGCTTGCTGGGGAAATGAGACTTACTCCAGGTGTGAGGGCACATGTTTATGTCCAGGCTACCTTCAGGTCCATTTCAATCAATCTGTAAGAGAGCAAGCTCAAAGCTGCTACATTCCTGCAGGTTTGCTATAAATGGAAAGTGGATGGAGAAGAAAAGAAGGCTTCAGCCTGGCTGCATGAAGACACAAGAGTCTGCCCAGAAGCATGATGTTAAAGGCCAGGCCTTCTTCATCCTGCTGCCCTGAAGTTGTTCATGTGCTGTTTGGGTCTGGAGGGTTGCTGCTGTTGTTTTAACAGTTTATAGCACTCAGCAAGGCAGTATAAGTCATAACTGAGGCTAAATTGTTAGGATTAAAAAAAGCAGGTGGGCTGGCTGTAATCACCTAGCAGGGACTGGGAGTAACACAGGCTCTGTTATGCTGCGGCTCTGCCTGGTAGCAGATGACTCCCGTGAGTCCCCCATGGCATGGCAGCCCTGTCTGCAGTGTGGGAGAGCACCTGCAGAAAGGGCTGCAGATCAGCTCCTGTCCAGCCACTGGCTGCAACTGCACCTTGGGCTTCTGTGGCTGCTACTTGCCCCCACCTGCTACCCAAGGCCCTGGAGGGAAGAAGTCTCCGGGATGCTGCCAGTAGGAGGAAGGATTGAAGCCAGCCTGCTGTGTATTATGTGCAAGTCCTATGACAGACTGGCTTCCTTTGCTCTTATCCTGCCTCCAGCCTGAGACTGGCCAGAGTCCATCCATTCCATCGGGGAAAACAACCCCAAATCAAGCTCTCATAGCAATGAGAACAAGTCTCTCAACTTCCCTTTCATGCTGTATAGGAGAGACACCCTCTCCCCCTTCATCTCCATCTACCAAGTGACCCCAGTGTCTGCAATCACACTGGATTTT